TTGATTGCATGTGATAATCTACTTTTTTGAGGTTGTGGATTTGGGGTTCTTGGGGTTTTCATGAATTGTGAGCCATAATCATCACAATTATGACAAATCACGGCTTGAATTATCTTGCTTTGCATGTAATGAGTCTATCTCATATATTAGTTTCACCTTTTAAGTTGCATTAGTGAAATAAATGAACTTTGCACGATATTGTAATTATTCGAGTTTCACCTGTATATCTACTTACACTGAGTGCAACCAGGCAGATTTTACTATAATGTGAGTGTGGTGCCTACCATTAGACTAAAAGTCCACATGCTGTGCTTATCTTCTAAGCTTCTCTCAGCCATTTTCATATCTTGGCTATGATTGCAGGCTTCATAGAGGGTATATGTATAGTAAATTGATATGCCACACTGTGAACTATCAAGTATTACGTGTTGATATGCTGTGCATGTGTACGCCACCTTACAGTCCACAGCACGAATGCACCTCCCAGAGTTAAAATGCTGCTCCTGCTTAAGAATCCATTCAGAGAGTGTCGTCACCGTGGAACAGGAAGTTGTACTAAGCCTCCAGGTTCAGAAAATGAAAGGAACTCATGTACATGAATGCAAGGGCAACCCAACACTGCAATCCATAAATATAATAAAAAATGTAGAAGATGAATACTTTTCTCCATTGAGGGACACAACGCTGAAGAATGGGGTTATGCTGTTGCCTTCAGGAGAAATGGACTCTAGGCAAAAAATTAAAAGCCTGAGACTTTAAAATCACAAGTCCTTCTACCTCCCACCTGCCAGTTTTGCTTAGTTTTCTCAGGAGAATGAATGGCTCCTTCTCTTCTGCTTTTTCATTTTGGTTTGATTTGTTTCTTCACTGAGATTCAACTATTAGGAGCTACTATTTGATTCATGCCGGATATTATTACATCCTGGAAGTTTCTCTAGCTAGCCGACAAATTGGAGAGATTCATGCCTGAAGTTTCTCTAGTTGTTAGGTGGTTTCAAGTCTTAGTACTGATGATTTGTCCTGGTGGCCTAGAGTTCCTGTGCTCATTTCCCGTGGCCAATCACCACACTGTGGATCCTTCCTGCAATGGTCCTGTGTTCCTATCTGATGAGGTATTTCAGCTACCATTTCTGAGGTTAGGCCAGTTTTGTCTGGGGATTACTTCTATGTTGGAACCAGCACTGTGGAGGTTGTGAGGATTCTATTCATGTTTTTTTTCTCCCTGCAGGAGGCTGGAACCGTTCCTCCTTTTTACTAATTCTGTGGACAGTTTTTTTGTATTTCTTTTTTTTAGCACTGTTTTGTTTTTTTTACTTTTCCTAACATTTAAAAAAAAAAAAAATCTATGATGCACTTGATTTTTACTGTGCATGCGCGACACCTAAGCTCTCCTTCCGCTCTCATTTCACACAGCTATGAGACATCAGCTCTATGAGACACCTGCAGCTTTTTGAAGGTACATTGCCTATTTTATTATATTTACTCCCAAGAGGAGGGACATCTGCTCTGGAACATCTGACAATGTGTACCTGCTCCGGTCTCTGTGCGTTCTATCTGTAAGGTAGAAAAAAAGGAAAGATTGTGTTAATTGTTTTTTCTTCCTTGTTAAAACCAATAAATCTTTGTCAGTGGCTGCTTCTAGATCGCTTCATTGTCTGTTAATTCTTCTTCCCCCTTTATCACAAAAAGTTATGTTTCTGTAGTTATGAAGGTTTTGATAAAAATGTTTCTTGTTCTAACAAGGATAAGAAACACTCCCAATCTTCCTCTCCTATTGCTTTGGATGAGGAGATGCTGGATATTTCCGGTTTAGCTAGAGCACTTCCAGAAGATTCTTTATGTGATGATGAATCCTTATGGTCATTGGTGGAGGACATTACTCCAGCTGCTGATTTTCAGTCATCTATGGTGTCTCAACCTCAAAAAGAAACTGGACTTTTTAATTGAGGCTGTGCACTCCGCTTTAAAGCCCATTTCCTCTGATGTCATGTCACTTAACGGTTGTCATGTGGGTGATGTCTCTTGGTTTGGGGAGGGATTCTGGATCACAGAGTTGCTGGTCTTGGAAGGAATCCAAGCTACCTAGCAACATCTTGGAGTTGTTGGCAATTCGCTGTTGTCTCATTGGACCCCCTTCTCTCAGGACTTCCATTTTGTATAGAATCGGACAATGCCATGGCAGTGACCTACATCAATCTACATCCGGGGGCTCTAGAAGCTTTTCAGCATCCAGTAAAGTGTACCTAATTATCCAGGACGGAACTTCACATCCCAGTAATTTCCGTGGTGCACATTCTGGGAGTAGGGAACTGTCAGGCAGACTTCCTCAACATGCAAATTCTTGATCCGGTCGAGTGGTCTCTCCATCCATCCAGAGGTGTTTCAACAACTTTGCCATCATTGGGGGATGCCGGATGTGGATCTTCTAGCTTCTTATCACAGTTTTTGTATCCAGAGCGAGGGATCCAACGACGGGTGCAGTGGATGCCTTGGGATCAGTACACCCTGATTTTTCTCCGCTGACCCTGTTACCTCATCTGCTTTGCAGGATAGAACTCAAAGGGGTTGTTGCCTTTCTCATCACTCCAGGTTGGCCTTGCAGTGTGTGGTATGCCGATCGGGTTCATCTGTTAGCACATGATCCGTGGCTTCTTCCAGATCTCTGATTCTCATTCGCTGGTTTTAACAACCTGGCTATTGAAACCCAGGTGTTGAAAGACAGAGGAGTCCAGATTCTGTTATTCTGACTTTGCTTAAGGCTTGTAGATCTTCTACTTATAAAATTTTGCTATCGTACGTTGAAGAGTTATTTTCGGGGATTTTCCTGCAGGCTTTTTCTATATTGAGTATTCTGTCTTTCCTTCAATCAGGGGTTGACCAACGTTTAGCTTTTAGTAGACTAGCATGAAGGGTCAGGTATCTGCCCTATCTGTCCTTTTTCAATGTCCTCTTGCTTCTAATTCCTTGATTCATACTTTTATTCAGGGAGTTATACGTATTGTTCCTCCTGTTAGGTGTCCTCTTCCTTCAGGGATCTTGAACTTGGTTTAATTCTTCTACATTAACCTCCTTTTAAACCTATTTTTCCCAAGGGGATTTTGGCCTTTCATTTAAATAAATAATTGTACCTTTGCTTTGTCCAGCTCCTGTTCATCCTAAGGAAATGTCTTTTATTATTGCTTGGATGTTGTGTCAGCTATCAGTTTATCTTTCAGCCACAGCTAGCTTTTAGATGTACAGATTCTTTGTCCTACCAGAAGGTCCTAGAAAATTTTGTCTGGCTTCTAGATCCACTATTTCTAAGTGGACTTGTCAGGTTGCAATTCAAGCTTATGAGTTGCGGGATAAGGTACCCACTTTTCCTATTTCTACTCATTCTACTAGATCCATTAGTAATTCATGGGCTTTTCATAATTAGGATCTAGTTGCTTAAATTTGTAAAGCTGCAATGTGGTTTTCTGTTCACACTTTTGCAAATTTTTATAAAGTTGATGTTTCTAGCTCCTTTTTGAAGCTAGTTTTGGCAGAAAAGTTCCTCAGGTGGTTGTTGAAGTATTTGTTTGACGGTTCTTTTTTGTTTATCTGTTTCTTCTAGTTGGTATGGTGCCCGACCCTATGTTTGGATTGCTTTTGGATATCCCTACATCTTGGAATTCTTCAGAGCTGTGGCTCTCAATGGACAATGGAAAAAATAGGATATTGTTCTTACTGTAAAAATCCTTTTCTTGGAGTCTTTTAAGGGCACAGCTCCCTCAACGGATTTCCTATTGTACTGCTTGCTACAGCTGGCAGGTGGGAGAGGTTATGATCTTAAAGTGGCAGGCTCTTAATGTATTTCCTAGTGTCCATTTCTCCTGAAGCAGCAGCATAACCCTTATGTATCAGATTGTTCAGAGCTGTGTCCCTCAATGGACTTTGAGAAAAGGGATTTCCCAGTTAGAAAAAAATCCTATTTTTAGGTCACATGAACCTCAGTTCCTCCTTCCTGCAGTGGCCAGTGGGTGGACACTTATGGCACACATGTCACTGCAGAGGCACCCTCTCCTTACTAGAACTAGTAATCTTTTAAAGCCTGCAGGAGACAAAAAATGCTGGTGTGACTATGTCACCCATCTGACCTATGGGAAGGTGCCATGGAAGGAGGGTGACTATGCTACTGTAAATTTGAGAAGTGCAGCATTGTTCTTCCTTCAAAGGAAGTGGTGCAGAAAGGGGCATACTGGCAAAATTAGCTGGTAAGAAATTGTGGAAATTGTGGATGGATGCAAAACAAAGCACTGGAGATTGTATAACAGTAAGTCCACTTTACGGAATGTAGTGTTGACACTGATTTTTTTATTTTTTTCCCCCCATAAGAATTGCATTAGCGAAGAGGTTACTTTTCTAGGAATGATGAGGTAGGGTAGAAGGTTAGCCATTGTAGAATAGAGACATGTAGCATGAATATCTGAAAATATCTGGTTTTAGAATGAGGCCAGCTGTTTCTGTGAATCAAATTTACTTTGAAACTATCTGTTCTGGATTGTGAAGCGCAAGGTTTTCAAAAATGACAATTCATCTTTTTTAAAAGCAAGGTGATTTGTTTTCATAAATAATACTGTCCATTACAGGTCCTACAATATGTAAAGCAGTGTTGGATCTCAGGCACATTACCAATGAGAGCAGCCATCTTGCTGATAACAGTACAGAAGGAAGTGACCATGGGACAAAACACAGGAAGTTAAAGCTACTTCCACGTAGACTCTTTCCAGCTACAGAAGAAAAGGGGGCAAGAGGTAAGTGATAGTAGCGATGGCAGGGATTCAGGACCATACAAATGTTGATGACCACAGGCACTAATTCTTCACATGGTTACAGCCCATCAGGTCCATGAATAATTTGTTTGCACTTTAATGTAACCACATAACTAAGTCTGTATATGAAAGGATCCGATAGATTCCTGCTGTCTCTTAATGTGTTTCCCGTTTTACCAATGCTTGCTGTAGCAGGAGGTATCTGACATGCGAGGAGGTAAGAACCTGATGGGTTAACACCCCTAGGAGGGTCTTGTCTTGCCCAAATCACCATTCTTCATGTCAGGAAGGACAATGACATAGCTACCTTTTTAGCATACGTTCCCATCATCCTATTATTTTGTATTTGAAGCTTTGTGGTCCACCAGTAGAACATAATTATACAAAATCAAAAATTACAGTGCCACTAGATCTTTTGGGTAAAGAAGGGTTCCCTCTTTCCAGTTTTTCTTCTGCTACTGTACTATTTGCTGGAATAGTACTGGCCATTTATCCCATCTTGCGTATGATGAAACTTGGCTTTGCTACTTCCTGAATGTTGTGGCAGGGAGTCTGTTATATCCATAAGGTTTTAGCGGCTGCTTTCACAGACCACATTACCTGTTATTTATAACTAACAAAAGGCCAGTCAAACTATTCAAAAAATCATTTTTGGTGTAGTTGATTATTGCCCAATATCTTAATGCTATCAATGAATTAGCTTCTTATATAAAACTATAAAGCAATATTTGTTGTTCAGTTTCAGGGAGTCTGTCAACTTCTTCTGGAAAAGATGAGTCCGCTGGAGTTTTAGACACCTGTGACAGAAGTGATTCTGATGTTGGGCTCATGTGCCAAAAAATTGGCAAGGAGTATACACGGAAAATTCAGGTACATCTCTGTTGCCATATGTACTAATGTAAAGTGGGGTGTCACTACAAAAAATACGCTGTTTGTTCCATAGGTAGTAATCATGAGCACAAAGTTATGTGCGAGCATCAGTAATGAATAGAATATGGAAGGTACAATTTACCTTCTCCAGGGATCCTGCAAGTAACAGCCCATCCACGTGTAGGTAGACAATGTTAAACCACTGCCTCTCAATAAGCTTTTTCAGCCTCCTGTGGAAGCTACTTCAGTTGGCCATTGGGCTGACCTGATAGGCAGCCCAATGGGCAAACTTAAGGAATGCACGTGCCAAGCTGACAGTGCTGCTGTTAATGTAGAAATGATTCAGGTGACTGTACAGCACTCATATGTGATCCCCCCCCATGTACGCTGCATGCCAATTCATGAAGAGCAGCAGGGGATTCCTTGATCTCCATTTACACTAAACCCAAAAGTGCTTATATCTGAGCATTTCCAGGTTAGAGCTGCCAGAATTCTGGCAGAGTCCCTGATGTCAGTGTATTGCTGGCAGAGGAGACATTGAGGGTCTAATAGAACCCTGATAACTCAGACATTTGGGTTATGAAGTTTGAACAATCAGACTGAGGTCACAAACTCTGCTAATCAGAGGAGCATATCATCCAAATACAGATCTGCCTCTTCTAGTATCTGGCAACGGTAAACCTTCTGCCACCTGCTTCCATTATGGACTTGCTGCAAGGGGCTCAATAACCAGAGCATATAGTAGCTGAAGAATTGTGCTCCCTTGCAGTGGAAAAGAGAATCCCTTGGTATTGCATGTACTTTAGGTGAACAAGAAGCCAAATCTACTCAATAACAATGGATTCAAATCTGCAGCTACTTCAGAATGTAAAGCTCCGGCAGCATGCAACATATCGGTTCTGGTTTTGACTTCTGGCCTTCTATTTAGGGTTGATGATTTACTGGACATGCACCCTCTTGTATAGGAGAGGGAATATCTCTATTTTGTTTCAGAGTGAGGATTGTATATTTTTGTTAGAGATTTTTGTGTAACTGCTGGGCTTCAATTAACGTAAATCTATAAAAAGCATCACGTTATGTTCTGTACCCTCTAATAATTAATCACACTGTTTGGACTTTAGGACATTCGTTTAAGTTGCTGAGAATCAAAAGCCTCACCAGGGGATATTGGAATATAACACAAAGTTATCTGATTGTACCCGATCACAAAGACGTGGTATGAAAATAACATTAGAGCAAAAACATAGCACTTGTAACGGAAGCATCTAACAAGAAGCGTCCGCTCCCCAGGCCTTAACTAATGTTCTCTTCAAGGCAAATAACATGCTGTTAATCAGGCAGTCAACGCTGGTACAGTGCCAGTGGTCTGGCCTAAAACACAGCTCATGGCAATGTACGCCATTATGTGGCCAGAGAGCACACACTGTTACAGCAGCCTGGAGGAAGGACAGTACGAAGCGACTACAGGTCAGGGTTCACAGCACCTAACAGAGGTAGCAAGTTTCAGCGACGGCATCTACAGGACAAATTAATTAGAACAATGTATTCTAGCTTATTGAAAAGGCAGATCCGTTCCTGAGATACATATTTAAATATGTTCTCTTTTATTATATTTATGCTGAAAAATAAGATGGGTTACAGAGATACATACATAATTTTTTCAAGTTGCGTCACAGGAAAGTAAGATATGTTCCAGCCATAGATCATAAAACATATTGACGTTCTTTTAATTAAGAGAGCCGCCCTGCGGGAATTCCCTGCCTATATTGTTAGGGTAATTTGCATTCTGAGCACAGACTGCGAGTCCCCACATAACATGACTGACAGCATTAAAACACCTTTAACTGTTTCACTGCTGTTCAGATCACAGAAATGAGCCTGTTACATTTTTCAGGCTTGTGGTGCCTAAAGACATTAGACAGGGGTCAATTTCGAGCCGAACAATTGTTTGTACAAAAGATCGTTAGTAGATGGATGTGTCCGAAAAATTGGTCTTCAGGGCTGGAATGTTTCAGCTTCTCCCAGACATTTTTTCCCATGTCCATTTTCCCTGTAACTGTGAGCAAAGAACCATTTAATTACCAAAAAAGACCATTCCTATAGAACATCTTTTACAAGTCTGGCAATCTTTGTCGCATATCTGTTGTTACCCTAAGGCAGGGGTAGCCCAACTCCGGCCCTCTAGCTGTGGTGAAACCACAAATCCCATGGTGCATCTCTTTCCAGGAGTCGTGGCTGTGAGAATCTTGCAATGCCTCATGTGATTTGTAGTTCCACCACAGCTGGAGGGCCGGAGTCTGGCTACCCCTACCCTAAGGGCTTGGATCGTCAGGCTTTGGGCTCGTGTCCATATCATCAGTCTGAGTCTTTTCTGAAGTCATTCAGAATTCATTGACAGGTGAATTTGACCCGCAGTTAACCTCCTTCTGACCTGCATTTGAACTGCTTCAAGCAGTCTTTGCATTCCTGTAGACTTGTATGGGGATGCAAAATATTTTGAAGGAAAAAAAGCCCCATGACACAGGCCCTAAAGCTGACCTTGCATATGGCAACTTAATAGAGTGATCCAACTTTCCATTCCATGTTGTGTGGAAATTGCAAAGCGATTGAAGACCTCAAATGGTGGTTTCAATCAACCTCAAGGAGCTGAAGTTAAAATTGCCCCAATTAAACCTGGCAGAAAAGTCCAATTACCCTTTTAACAAAACTGATTTTTTTTTTCCTGTTTTAAAATGGACTAAAATGGACTACAATCTCATTACAAATTAGTAAACTAAACGTGAGATTGTAGTCCATCACAGGAGTGAACTTGGAGTGGTGACTACTTTACATCACACACAGGGACCATGGGGAACACCAGTAGCCCCCCTCCAGAAGGAAGGACAGTGTCAGCACCAATTCAGAGATGATTGGAGGATCTACAGCCGAGTGATACACAAATAAGAGACATTTTTGTTAACAGTTAAGGTTCTTGAATGTATTTTAAATGTAACTCCTGAGTTTAGTGTCACTTGAAGCCTTCAATTTATTGCCCGATTTTGACTTCCCAGTTGTCAGAGTTCTGCTGGTCAGAAATTTTTGTTAACACCTTCAACCAGACCTGTGATAACTAGCTCAGTTGCTAACCTGTGCCCCAACCATCATAGCAGCGCAAAGGGGGAAAGAAAGACGATCTAGCTGGTGGAAGATCTGCTTCCTGAAATGACGAGATATATATTGTGTGGAGTTTGTTATTAAAGCTAGTTGCCTTAGTATTTGTTTTTGCCCTTTTATGTTACTATGATTTAAGTGTATCTGTTTAAATATTGCCTTGCCAATAAATAAAGTTTTGAGAGCAGGGGAAAGCACATAAAGGTGTTTAAACACCATGCTATTACTGAGTATTGATATTTTCTATTGGATTACTTTAGAATCGCTCCCGAAAAATCGATTACTTTACCGAACAGTCCATGAAGAATGCGCAGAGACACCTGACCTCAGTGGAGTTACAAGTACGCGAATGCCGGTAAGTGTAGGAACATCAATTTGTGTAGCGTCTGTACAGAACGACATGGTCACTAAACCCAGTTCTCCCTGCTGTCCTAGAATAAAACATCTGCAAAAGTTCCAGCAGACCATTCTGGAAGAGATTGAAAACTTTGAGAAAGATTCCAAGGCGCTAAAGCAAATGGAAAAAGAATTTACCGTAAGATTGTAGTTCATAAACTTCTTCCACTTGTCTTCACCTGCATCTGTTAGTGGAAATGTTGGCAGTGTAATAACTTCCTGCATGTACTGAAGGGCTGATTATTATAGATAACCATTCTGATGATAAGACCATGGTTATGTAATACAATAATCAGATCTCTGGCCTTGTTCCATTCATCACGCTCATCCTCTATAGTGTTATATTATGCGTCCCACAGTGATAAAATGACATCTCAGATCGTATCAGCTGCTTCTCATCCTTACCTTGTGTCTTGTAGAATTTCTGGAGCCAGCAGACACAAGTAATGGGCGTCTATCACGGCAATGAACAGAAAAGGTCAGTTCTGCTCTTGCAGGGCAAAGGTTTTAGTCTTTGTTGTTATTAAATCTGCTATCTCTATCTAATTGTAGGATTCATTGCCTGAAGGCTTCGTTTGAAAAGAATGTATCTCACTGCACAGACTTCGAAGGAAAGATTTTTACTTCTGAAGTATGTAGCTATAACATAAAAGTATTGCAAGAATGACCTAAAGGATGTGTTATATGTTTATTTGTACAATCTTGGTAAACGGCCTGAAAAATGCAAAGTTTCAGGATCACCAGGGTTCCCTTCTTAAAGTGACATGACTTTACCTGATGAAGGGCCCCTTGGTGGTCTTGAAACATTGCACTTTGCTGTATGGACATGTTGAAAGATCATCAATAAAGGCAGTTCCTTTTGCAGGAGATTGAGGTGTGCCGGGAACATATTTTCATGAGAAATGTTGCAGCTTGCAATATCACTATTTTCTATGGCACTTTGTAGCTCCGAATGATTAGGTGTGACATGGTCTCCAGCAGCTCCACTGGATAACACGAGCAGGCATGTGCAGCTGGCGGTTATGCATTTTGTAGCTGTCTCAGACTGAAGTCCAAATAGCTGAAGTCATTGCGTCAAGACATTTCTATTGATTGCAGTTCTTTCTTTCCTCACAGCAAACATTCGGTAGCTGGTACAAATTAGGGATGTTCAGATACCAGTGCCGATACTTGCCATTTTCATGAGAACTACCAGCGTTGCAGCTGGGACCTGGCTCTGGCGCTCCACCACTGTCCTGAAATCATCAGTCTGTATTGTTTTAGAAAAACTGTCACATGACAATAAAAAAAATGTATCAGTACTTGTACTGAAAAAAATGGTATTGGTGCATCCCTAGTACAAATTATGGCTACAGAACTGCTATTGTGACTTGAAGTAGCTGTGTGACCATTAAGGGCCATCACAGTAGGTAAGAACCATCATGCTGTATTCCTCTTAATCTTGAATACCCCAGCATGGGATTAGAGTTCCCACACTAGACTACACTGAATAGAAATGGTTTGTTTTAAATGCGGAGTTGTTCCGTACCTTTTGGCTAAATAAACACCCGGCATCTCAGATAGAACGTAGAGTGGATAATTGATCATTATGATAGGTGAAAGGACAGTACAGAAATAACAATTGTGCAGACTTTAGCATTTATTTGCACATATGTTTCATTCACAAACCCTTGGGGGGCTCTCAGTGGCCCTTGCACACCCTAGGATTAAAGTGAACCCTTTGAGGATAGAAATATAGGTTGCCTTTGCTGGCTTGTTTTTAAAGGAAAACTGTTGTGACAGATATATGGAGGCTGCCTTCTTCTTAAAATGCTAATGGCTTGGGCAGTCACTAATATATCTGTATTTGGAGTTATTGATCAGGAAAAATCATTAACATTGGGAAAGTCACAGATCAGTATGACAGCCAGGGGACCTGTAATTCCAGAAAGAAGTGTCCGCATTAGTTGATTTCATACTTGCAAAATTAACAGGCTCCCTTTTTAAGGCCGGATTCACACACTGTTGCATTGTGGTAACATGCGCTATTTGCACTGCGGTGCACAGTGTTGGTAAAAAATGGTGCATGCACCTTTCGTGTGTGTTCTGATTCAAATTAATTGGCTGCCTTAATGCAACACACAGATGTAAAGAAGCCCTTAAAGTGTAAACTTCAGGGCTGTCATCCTGATTCTGGCTACACCACCTGGTGAGTCACTGACGCATGCAGTGTGAAGTCTTGCCCTGTATGCTTGTTTCTAGTCAGTGGCACTCTGTGTATATTGATATTGGGATTGGAAATGTTGATTTTAGTGGATTTCCTAAGCTTGTCAGCATTACAATGGAAAAATCTCAATAGCCCCAAGCAAGAGAATAACCCCGGAACGGCTTAAAGCCTTATTGTGCTGGTCATTACAAGCATTGAAATGAAAGGCCCAATACAAAAATAATGGAATTATCAAAATGAAAAGTTGAAAATAATGTATTGACAGGAATGTAACATATATTTTGTCTTTCTACAGATGCATGTTATGAAAGGAGACATGAAGAATGTTCAAGAATCGCTTCTCAAAAAGATGGTAATGTCAACACTTTCCAGTTCCCCCGATGTTTGATAATATAGCACCTTATTTTCTCTACATGCTAGAGATATTATCTTCCAGTCTCTGCTCACAGATTAAATGTAAGCGGAAACTATTGTATTTCTAGAAATATAACACGCTTCATTTAAACCGCCCACTCATAATCCTTCCCATGTTCAGTAAATGAAAATAGAATAAGTGCTCATACAATGTCTTTCCTGTGGGTGGCACCAAGTAGCTTCCATCCTGTACATTCCAAGGTGAGCTTGTGATAAATAATGCACTAACCTGTCTTCCTGGAAGGTGATAAATGCTCGTCTCAATGGAGTGTAAAATTGTACGTCTGGGGAAAAAAAAACTGTGCAGTACATGAACATTTCTCCAAGTTTTGTCCTTTTATAAATCCCGCACGTATAGAGAAATAGCTATTGATCTGTCACAAATGCTTTAACTCTATTGTGCCTCTTCTGCACTGAATTACCAAGCCGTGTTATGAGCCCTGCATAACACTTTTCTCTTTTCCTGAGCTACAGAACACCTTCCTCCTCTCCTCATCTGTATAACATAACTGGGTAAGGCTGATGAGAATGCTTGGGATTTCAGTGCAACAGAAGCACTGTGTTGTCAGTTCAAACAGGGTTAGGAGTTCAATGGATTTTTTTGGCAGATCAAACTGGTATTTTTATGTACTTATAGCATTTTTAAAGAGACAAACCATGAGGAAATGTACAAGTTTAGCAGAGACGTTTGGCTTTTTTTTGATGTCTAGACCTAAACCTTGTGTCACATTACCAAAAAAATCGTGTTCCATATTAACTTTGTATGTATGTAAGCACCCTCTCTCGTGAAATGGGTATATACATGCATTTTGTACAGCAGTTATGAAGCAATGTTTAGACCTTAGGTCACATATATGGAATTATGTAGAAAACAGTTGACAACATTTTATGGAATATTTCTTGTCTTCAAAACAGCATGAAGAGGATCTTCTCAGTGTACGAAGAGGACTAGAGTCCCTCTTTATGGCAGGAGCCGGTCCTTTTTAGTTCCAGTACCGCGGTGCCAGGCATGTTTGTCTTGGAGAATGTGCACGCAGATAGCTTAATTCTATTAGGTTTATACTTTGTTTTGCTTAGAATGTTAAGTTGTACCTGTGATTTCTATAAGATGTATGTAGAAACAGGACAACAAGAATGTAAATGGTATAAAGGACATGAGATGTCTTATATGATGTTTATGTTTTTGTACACTACTTTAGAAATATGAAAGGTAGAATGTAAATCACACATTTTGTCTTCTGTGCAGGGAACCAGAAATGGTTACAGCCAAAACTTTTGTTTTTGGCAGATCAGGAACATTTTAGAATCTCTTTATAGCTGTACGTGTCCCAATTGGGGAGATGACTCCCACTTTTGGTGTTGTCATCTCCCTAACTGGGTCACAGACGACAGCTAACGGAGCTTCTAACCTTCCCTGTTGTACCCAGAACTGACTAGAGTTACGCTTTATGACTTCTATTTGATGAAGGCTGATTGATAGTTTGCTGTACTTTGCCTTGTTAACTAGGGAAACCTGTGCCTAGAATTTCTGATCCCTTCCACAAGCCTTCAATCAGCCAAGCACTTGTCTTTACCTTTTCACCATAGTGATCCTACGTTTGTATATTCGTTATTGCTTTTATCTTGTTAAAATATGTATTTGTTTTGTTAATTACATTTCGGAGATGTAAAATTGAATGTTTGATATGTAAGGAATGTTAGTAAAGATTTACATTCTTGAATTTTTTCAGGTTACGTATCTTATAAATTAGTAGATGGAATTCGGGGGTGCTACAGTAGTGTATTGCTGTACTGTGCAAGCCGGCCATGGTTGGTCTCTATAAAACAATATTAACTGTTCTTAGCCATGTGAAAAAGAATTGTACGTTAGAAACTCTTCTTAGACTTCCTGGGTAAGGCAAAGTATCATGAACAGCAGCATGCTCCAGCTTGCAGAGGAAAATGACAGCTGCAAGTGGGTGCCTGTGGGCAACACAGATACTGGTCTGTCCCTTCACCATTTATACACAAGCCAACTGTGACTGCTACAGGAGCCATTGATCACTCTGGTGGCGGACATGCAGAGCAGTTTTATTGGTCACTGAATGAAGAAACTAAATAACAGGTTTTTTTTTTCCTGGTAATAATGAAGTGATCATTCTAGTTGTTACCCTCAATTAAGACACATTGGGGGGAATTTATCAAAACTGGCACAGACAGAATCTGGAGCATTTGCCCATGCCAACCAATCTGCATCTCTCTTCAGCTTGCTCAGGTAAGATTTTAAAATGAGACAAAAAAGCTGATTGGTTGCAGTGCAAATCTTCTCCATAATTTGTCTGCTCCAGTTTTGATAAAGTATGTCATTTGTTGGTTACAGTATGTTTGTTACCCAGTGATATAATATACGGCTCATATTTAGCAATCTCACCCTTTGGTAACTTTTTATTTTTTGGTCTTGGTCTATTGACACTTTGCATTCCAAAAAGAATGTGCAGTGGACAAATATTAGGAATCATAGGGGGCTAACATATACCATCCATTTCATTGCGTGGCCCTCCAAAGCATCTCTGTTGCCCACTGAGGACAAAACTAGAAAATAGGCACGCGTCCCCTGCGATGATGAGGGCCACACTGGCTTAAGAGGGGCCTTGTCATTGCAACGTTGGCTGTCTGTGCGCCTGTTATTAGGAACTCATTGCATATGGAAATTTTGAGTTCTGGAGGTCCGAAAGTATTAAGTGCACTTCTGCGCTATATGTTTCTGGTGTTCTGGGTTTTGTTTTTTTAGCACAGGTTTGCTCTAGATATGGATAATAACCACCTCACTGCCTCTATTATGACACATACCAACAATGAGACTCGTGGAATCTGTGAAGGACCACCAACAGGACAAACTTGTAGGTAAGAGTGCTGTTTTATCATCACTATTAGTGTTTTTTTTAGTCTTGGCCAGAGAAGAGATCTAGAAATATATTTTCTTGGCATTAGAAACACAACAGACTGTGTTACTCCTACTGCCAAGATTCCACCTCCTGCTCACCATAACATTTGCTGCAATTGAATGGATGCTCAAAATCTTAATGGTAGCTTTCATTTTATATGCAGCAGTAGAAAATAAGAGAGCCGCCTGTTTGTTAGCCATGGCAATCAGGGTTGCAATGGCTAACAGATACTTTGTTCTACTGCAGGGGGTGGGCAAAGTCTGATCCTTCAGCTGTGGTGAAACTACAAATCCCATGATGCATCTGTCTTCGGTCTCTGGAGTCGTGGGTGTGAGAATCTTTCAATGCCCCATGGGATTAATAGTTCCACAACAGCTGGAGGGACGATGTTTGCCCACCCCTGCTCTACTGTATACAATTTAAGTTGGTTAATGCAAACATCGAAATACTCAGTTGACATAGACATGAGAAATGTTTAACTTTTCAGAGTTCTTGTAATTCTGGTCAGCTGGACTCATGATTCACAGATCTGTTCACCACTGCAAAGCCAGAATGATGCTTCTCCTTATTCCTGGTTCAGTTTTACCGCTTCTTGGGTCCTCTTCTTGTCAGAGGCGGTGGTACAGATTCATTGTCCAGTGAGCGGACTGAAAACAAAGATGTGGTTGGTACCAGACGCTGCAAAGCTGAACCAAGAAAACGGGTTGTCACTTTCCTTCCTGTGTTGTGCGGCAGGCCAATGTAATTTACCAGACGTAGAACAATAGATATTTATCTCAGGACATACAAGACTCAGATCAGCATGTTCAGCAATGGGTTTTTTTAATAAGAGTAACGTAACCAGAAAATGTAACCGTTTAGGGACATTTAAAAAAGGAAACAAAATATAAAACATGAAAATACTTTGCCGAGGCATGACCTTTACAAAGAAAGTGTGACGAGGCGCACATGTCGATGTAATACTAATAGATGTGCTGGCTGCGTTTTTGTCCATTATGATGTCGCCATGCACAGCGTCTTGCTGCAATATACAGCGTCGTCCATCCAGTGTCTCTCAGCGACACCCACTTTTTGTTTTGCGTGTGTATCCTTGAGCTTAGTGTCTCTCCCCCTGGTGGGGCTGATCAGTCCCCAGACATGCGCGGTGAACTCATCGCTATTCCACTCCACGTTGGGAAGTGTAGCAGACAGTTTCTCCTTTATCATCCACAATGTACTCTCCGCATAAATTTCAGAGCGCCAGGCGCTCAACTTCACAACTGAACCTCATTGCTCCTCAAGGAACATGTTCAGCGATTTGTTAATTGCAAAGTAGGACCGTTTTTCCCACGCGTGAAAGATTTTACGGTCTATGATACCTGGAAGAGAAAAAGAAGAGATTGGTTTCAAATGCTTTGCTGTAATCGGTCGACTTTGACCAGAAAATTGTTTTTTTCGTTACTAATTAAAAGCAGAAGTCCATTTTAAAAAGCTTTTCTAGCAGTTGCAGACATTAACGACACACAGTTGGAACAATTACATTTGCCGGATGAGAGGTTTGTAACACTAGCGATCCTGTCGCTGATAGCAAATTGCTAGTCACTGGATCGCCAACGAGAGAGTACTGACCTACTTCTACGATATCCTTCCTTCGCTACCTGAAGTGCTGCAGAATCACACAAAGGAGTGACGCTATAGAAGCAGGTAAGTGTTCTCTCTGCTCTCTTTGCTATCCGGTGACAAGAGCGCTAGCTTGACATGACACTAATGTACATCAATACACTCCACAACCCCGCTACCTATCCAGAGATTGGGATTTCTTGAAGGTGCTCTTTAAAAAAGGGAATTGCTACTTCCGTAGCAGAATTGATGAGGCAGTAAAATGATCACATTTGTATTTCACTATAATGCTCTTGAGGTATGCCTTGTGCCTATCAGGAAATGTTCACCTGTGCATGGTGCCATGGGTAATATAGACCTGATATGTATACAGTACTGGTTATATAGAGTTCTTGCAACAAGTAAACCTTGTATATGCCTTTTATATTTTGGTGTAGATGCTGACCAACTTAACCACACAAATCTACAGTTAGAGGGGTGGGGCAAAGCCGTGCTTCCATTATAAAACAGTTATGACCAAATAAAAGTGGATAAAACTTGGCTGTGTTATTATGTTACAACCACAGTCACTTTTGTTGGACAGCTTGGCCTGCATGTTCATGTGTACACTATTACGAAAGGCATATGAAATAAGATTCAATTTTTTGCAATCATCCATCACATATAGGTATAAAATAAGATATATTTGTGAGTTTCAGGCCAGGACTTTGCATTCTGATGTATAGAACAACATCAGCTGCGCTAGCTGTCAGTATGCATGACTTTATCTCTCTATACAAGTATAATATACAGGGGAGGATGATCAACAGTGAAGTATTTAAAATCTGGAGCAGTTGCCCATAGTAACCAGCTTCTAGCTTTCATTTTCAAGGCTAAACTGGAGAGAAGCTGACTGGTTACTATGGGCAACTACTCCAGATCCTGTCTGCTCCACTTTTGAGAAATTCCTCCCCCATAGTATGATGGATGATAAAAACCCCAGTAATGGCCAAAGCCAGCTTGGTTATTTCTCTTCTGTTCTGTGTTGTTTTCCAGTCTAAGTTACATAATCTATTGCACAGGATCTCATCCACCGTCCTTCTGAAGAAATCTCATCATTCACTATATAATGAGCTTTAACAGCAATGCCAGAATCCATTATATAACACTACTAACCTGGTCAAATGTTTGCTTGAAGCATGTACTTCCATCTCATTGCTTTTATATTCATTAAGTTCTTTTCGGATGGCAGCCTGGAAATAATAATACAACACGTTGTTAGCTAAGACTGTCCAAAATAGGACATGTACACTTACATGTAGTATCGATAGTGTAACAAAATGGGATCTTTATTATTACATCACTATCCTAAAAATCCACTCAAACATTCTGCATCATCTTCCAAAGACTGTCTATACTTTGGGCTAATGCTGCACCAATACCGGTTTCGGTATTGAGCATGAGTACCAATATTTGTTTTTTTAT